GGAAGGGATGGAGGAGAGAAAACACTGGGTGTGTGATGTCCCCATCTCTCTCCCCACCGGGACTCGCACCACAGGCTGGAGGCGCTTCCAGCAGAACTGAGTGCTGGGGAAAGCCGGCAATAAATCAGCTCTGTCCTTACTAGCCAGGGGTTGCTATGGCAATAGGAATACACTGTAGGGTTTAAGAGATGTAATTTTCTGTGATTCACTGTATATTTTTAGCCACTTTTTCTCCTTGTGTTATCTCCCTGTGGCAATTGCCTATTAATGCTGGTCTACACCAAGACTGGACTAAATGGCCGGTTCTCAGAAGTGATGAAAACCCTGGAGACCAGTACGTTACAAGCGGGTTAAGGCCTGTGAACCTAAGGGTAACCTGGGAGAACAGCCAGACTGGATCAGGACACGGGTTAATTGGCATGAGTCATGCCACATCTAAGAAGAATAATGGAGAAGGAAAGGCCCCACAGATGTGGCGCTGGGTTGCTTGGAATGGAAAACTGAGTCATGCTACTCACAGCAGTCAGGGTGCTCACATGGCCACAAGGGCAAACCCCACCAGTCGGTAATGAATATCCTGATGAGGGAAGCTAGGCCCCAGGTTTCTGGACAAGGAACTGTAAAAGTTCATTAACCTTCTGTCAATCTAGCTCAAATCTTACTAATGTTTCTTTTTTTTCAGACGATCACTCACATGTAAGGTGAGCTTCCAGCTTGGGTGTTTTTTGGCGGGGGGCGATAATTAAGTTTATTTATTTTTTAAATGGAGGTACCCAGGACCTCCTGCATGCTAGGCATGCACTTTACCACTGAGCTACACCCTCCCCTACCCTTTACTACTGTTCCTTATACTTTCCTTTTCTTCCTTCCTTCTTCTATCCTTCCTTTAATTTTACTTATTTTTTTCACCATAAAGTTTAAAGGAGGGACTGAGAGGAGGGAAAATCTTCATCAATCTACTTGGCTATTTGTTAATAATTGTACCAAGAGTCTTTTCATTTTAAGCAACAGAAAACCCAACGCTAAATGATTAATGCAGAAAGAGAACTTACTGTCTCTTGTAACTGAAAAGTCCAGGGCTCCGGGCTAGTCACAAGCACAGCTGTCGCCAGGGGGCCAGATGACATCATCCACATCTGGGCTCTCTGTCACACCAGATTCTACTGATGTCTTGGCGTTTTGGCTGTAACAACATAAAGCTCAGCTAATAGAGGCTTCAAGGAAGTGTGGGTTGTTTTTCTTACATAAGAAATCCAGAGATAGGTTTATTTGTCTCATATAAAAAGTAGCCCAGAATAGGCATAGATGACATTACCACGCAGCAGCTCAGTAATGTTATCAAGAACTCAGCCACTTTCTTCATTTCTGCTCCACTGTCTGAAGGACGGCTCCAGTTCCAGGCATTCAAGGTGAAAAGAAGAGGTTAGCTGCATCTGATTCTTTTATCCAGGAAGGCAAATCCTTCCCCAAAGCCCTCAGTTGATTCCAATTGATTGGACACATAAGTGTCACATGGCCACCTAGCCACTGAGGAGGCTAGGAAAGCATGGTCTTAGGTTTTTCTAGTTGCTATAGCAGAGGCAGGGTTTGTTGTTGTTGTTGTTTTGTTTTTTGTTTTGCTTCATAGAATAGTCAAAGAAAAGCCACAGCCCATATTGTGGAATGGTTCTGCCTCTTCATCACAGGGTCTGATTGGTTACATTGTTGCCACTTCCAGGAAGAGAGAAAGGGAAAGAGAAGGGCAAGAAACTTCCTTTTAAGGATGTGCTGCAGAAGGTGCATCTTCTCTCTGCTCACATCCATTGGCCAGAATTTAGTCACATGACCAGAACTAGCTGCCAGGGAATCTGGGAAACATAGAATTTGTGTAGCCACGTGCCCAGCTAAAGCTTGAAGACTTCTTTTACTAACCCGGGGCAGGGGAGGGGTAATGGAGGACACTCAGCAATCTCCTCCTAAGAAGTTATGGAAGAAAGGGTCTGAATGGGTGTTGGATTAGCCTACCAACCGTTTCTGCTTCTGTTTTATTCTCAAAGAGGCTTACCTTTGTGGAAGTAAGACAGCTTCATCAGCAGCATCCTGACACCCTCCCTGGCCAGTCTCATTATGTCTCTCTGGTTCTGGGTGTGTCCCTCACCTATCTCTCAACCACAGGGATGCAATATAATGCTCTGATTGATCATATCTGAGTCTTCTGCTCCCCCAATCACCAAGACCTTCCTGGGCCTCACTTTGCTCATCTGTAAGATAGAACCTACCTCACAGGGAGATAGGGTTGGTGGGAGAGTGCTGCTGGTGGCCATTGTCCATAAATGCATCCTCCCCTGACCTGCTGACTGGACTCAACCTAATAATGTCCTCTTAGAAGACAAGCCCTCTAAAAATCGAAGTAAAAAATAAATTATTGTATAGCTGCCTATATTTCATCTCACAGTATGTTCCAAAGAAAAAAATATTTATTCAGCACTTGCTTCAGGTACCTGGCACTCTGCTAAGCAGTCTACATACATTTTATCATCATTCTCACAGTAACTCCATGGAAGAGATACTTTCACTATTTTCACTGAACAGAAAGAAATTCAGCTCCTTGCTCTAAGGCCACACACAGCCAGCACAGCAGTGGAGCCACAAACCCAGGACTAACTTTGAACTCTCACACTCTCCTCCCTCTTAAGGTACAAAAATAAGTAACACCACACATTTATGGAAATCTTGCTGATTGGGGCAGTCACAAGACAGCACCGCTCAAATCTCCCTTGAGAGGAACCTACTGCAAGGAATGTAGTGGGATGGCAGTCCCTGGCAAAGGCACTTTTGGGGACCTGGCAGCATTCACACTGAGGCCTCCCTGAACACAGCAGAGGGACCAAAGCCGGAGACTCCTTGGCTCTTGGGCTTCCCATCAACCTGGCCAAGACATTCTTGAAGCTGAGTTACAGTCCAAAGTTCTTCCTATCCAATCCTTTTTCCTGCCCTCTCTCCTTTGATAAGAGTCAGGCCTGCATTGTTGCCTGAAGGGTGTCCTCACCTACCTCTGCTCCCTCACCCTTTATCCTTCAAAGGCATGCGTTCTCCCCAACACGTTTATTGCATATCTAATTCCATCCCATTGTCTGTTTCTCAGAGGGCCCAAAGGACCCGCATCTTGTACCTGCTTTGACTCGCCGCATGGATCACATCACAGGTAAAATATATGTCTACTTTCTGAATATTTTTAAGTGTTAAAGAACAAGCCAGCAGTGAAAATAATAATTCAAAACTGAGGGTGGGGCAGATCTGATGTAGACCAATGAGGAAGCTCTTGGTCTGATGCTTAAAAGTGGAGCCTCCTCCTCTGAGCAAGTTTCTGAACAGAAGGGAGAATGACAGCCATTTCTGATCGTAAAAGGGTAGAAACCCAGCTGCATAGGATGTGTGGTAGGCAGAGGGAGGGAAATGTCTGAAACATGCCTGGAGTCAAATCACAGGGTGGCAGATGATTCCAGTCACTCTAATTCTCATCCAGAAGATTCCAACCCACTTAGGCAAGAAATTGATTCTTTACAGAAAGAGCAAAGACTGCTACTTAACTCAGCCAAAGGGAGAAAATGATCAATTAAGCAAAATACACTGGCTTTAGACAAGGATCTCCAAACTGCCTGGGAACATGTGCCATGGCTACCCCACACCACCCACCTCACCCCCACCTTAAGGCTTATCCAGTGATTACTAACTAGTAGCCACAGATGGGCCTACAAACACATTTGATTTGGTCCCCATGGTGTCTTTTTTTTATATATATAAAACTTAAAATTAGTTGACAAGACTTATTAATTGGGATATTTCAGATAAAAATCTGGAGTTCTTGCTTCTCTTGAAAAATCAGATGATCTGACCATATTCAACCTGCATATCCACTTCCTGCTTCAGACACGGCCGGAATCCCCACTGCTTCCATTGTATTACACCTGCGGGCCCTAAAGTCTTTTGAGTTCACGACACCAGGCTCAAACTGCTCAGGACAGAAAACCTCCCTGGTTTTGAGAACTCAGATTCAGATCATGAGTCTGGGAGAGCACTGGGCTGAAGTTACCTGTGAGCTCCTTAAAAAAATGAGTTCCTAAGTAAATTAATAGCATAAATAGGACTTCAAGAGGGAGCTTTTCAAAAAGCAGTTTTCAGGCCCTCTAGCAGGAATGACGAACACCAGCACAGCTGGGAGGCTTGTCAGCAGTGGCAGCCTGAAGACGGGGAAGGCCAGGGGCAGACACCCTGTGTTAGGAGAGGTGAGACTCCCATCCTGGCTTTGCCCTTACTAGGGATACGGCCTTGAGTGTTTCCTTCATGCTCAGATCAGGTGCCTGGTCTTGTAATAAGAACAATAAGGGCTAATATCTGCCAAGTGCCTATTACCTATAAAACAGCCTGTTCAGTGCTTTGTGAGCCTCCTTCCTTTCACACTAAGCCTCAGGTCAAGTACCAGTGCTATCCCCAAAGCACACGAAGGCTTCGTGACTTGTCCAGAGTCAGAGAGTCTCTAACTGATGGAGCCAGGATTCGAAGCCCAGACACTGACTCCAGAGCCCACACGTGTATCCCCTGCACTGTGATGTTTCCACTTGCTTCACAGGGTTGTTGTGAGAATTATGCAAGATGATGGAGGCCAGGTGCTTTATGGAAACTGCAAAGTGCTACAGCCATGTTCACTATTAGCTGTCACTTGAGCACTGCGGTTTTCTTTTTTTTTTTTCCCAAATTGATTTACCTATAAATCACCAAAAGGGAGCTATAACTCAAACATCATTAGTCCTGGGGTGCCCTCTGCTGACAACAGTCAGGAAATTATGAAATTCTAATAGGTGATAATGATTCCTGTGGCCTTCTTGAACAACTCTTATTGGAGTGCCTACTTTGTCTCAGGCATTGTACTAGCTGCCACAGGGCCTAGGGAGACTAGGAACACAGGACATGGGAGGTCCCTTTCCAGCGGAGCCTGCCCTCTCTGATTTAGGCATAGGAAGAAGAAAGCCATGAGAGCCGCAGGGCAAGTGTGAACCCACCTCCCATCATGACATCACAGAGGGGAGCCCAAAGCCAGACATCGTCATCATTGTCTCCCTCAAAAGGCCACAGTGAACCCCAAACCATGAGGTAAATGGTACTCCAGCCCAGGAGTATTCAGGCATAAATGTTTAACAATCAACTCTCTGGCAGGGAGAAGCTCTATTTGTAGCGTTTGTCGATTTCCATGGTATAACTACCCCCATTTCAAGCTACCAACATTCACAAGACTCTTGACAAAAGCCCTATTTAACAGTTGGCCTCTCGAAAGCTGGCAGGAGCTGGCTCCAACACACCAGTTCTTTTATCTCTAGAAAAAAAAATAGACTTTCTCATCTTCCTTCTCAATCACCTAGACTTGAGAATTCTTCCAGATGATCCACACTGATGAGCAGGGACAGATCAGCCTCACCGCAGCAGGGCTGACACCCTACAGAAAATGGGGAATGCCAGCTGGAACGTCCCCCGAGCATCCTCTGGTGGCTCTGACCGATGGTCTACGTCACCTTCCCTTGTTCCAGCTCTGAAAGAGAATCTCTTTCACACTCCACCTGCCTGTCTTCATCTCCAAATTCCCTGCCTCAGCCCAGGAGCCTCCACTGCAGCAGAGGGCACCTCTCTTCTGGTGCTAGGAGGCTGGCCAGCCCTGGACCGCATGCCTCTTGCTTTGTTCAACACAGAAGGAAGAAGTCCTGCGTTGGGCCCAGGAAAGGAAAGAGTGTGGGCCAGTTCTCGAAGGTCTCCAACTAGAGAGGGAAGCCAGGCAGAGCAAAACCCAACTGTTGGGAGCCTCAGAGGACCAACTTCAAGAGGGTATGCTTTCTACCCAGCCCCAAAATCATCCATGGGGCCCACCAAATAAAACCAGAAGTATAATGACCCCAGTTCTCCAGACAGCAGCTGCCAACCTCCACCTCCCATGAGGTTAGCATTGCCCCTTGCTTCCTCCCCTGACCTGCTCTTGGATTTCCTTCTGCAGCCTCAATCCCCTCATCCGAAGATTCTAGAATCCTAACAGATGATGAAACCTACAGTGAGAAGACTGGGTTCCACTCCGGCTTGTGTGTGTCCTTGAGAAAGTTTCTAAACTTCCCAAGGCTTATGTTCTGAAGCCTAAATAGAAATTGTCATCAGAATGCTGTT